CATACTGGAAGCTATAGTTTCCCTGGAAAAACTCTACAGTCATGAAAACTGTAATTCGTGGAGACAATGGTTTAAAAACAACTCTATAAAAGAGGAACAAAGTGGACGGTATTTAATCAAAGGGTATTGCACAATATGCCTCCTTAACTCAAGCCACAGTCAGTGAAAAGAAGCACAAAACAGTGACTGATTCATCAACTCAGTTCAATTCAATTTTATTTATACAGCGCCAAATCACAACAACAGTCGCCTCAAGGTGCTTTATATTGTAAGGTAGACCCTACAATAATACATACAGAGAAAAACCTAACAATCATATGACCCCCTATGAGCAAGCACTTGGCAACAGTGGGGACGAAAAACTCATTTTTAACAGGAAGAAACTTGCGGCAGAACCAGGCTCAGGGAGGGGCGGGGCCATCTGCCGTGACCGGTTGGGGTGAGAGGAGGAAGACAAGATAAAAGACATGATGTGGAAGAGACCCAGAGATTAACACCGACTGTTTTTCAGAGGAAATGTGGCTGAACGTGACTTTCTGGTTTAACTGGACTTCAAGGCTCAGAGCATAACTCCTCATTATGTTTTTACCAGGCAGCACTGACAGGACATAGATTTTTCATAAAAGGAGAAAAATCAGTTTGAATAACCTCTTTGACCTCTCTAAGAAACCATTTTATTAACTTTCTCGAGCTTTGCATTTTAGCTCAGATCAGTTGTAAAATATTCCACGCTCAGGCCTGCTGCGGACCCTCAGCCACGGGTTGATTGGAGCTCAGGGCCAGACTTTGAAACAATCCTCAAAAATGACCAGGTCACTGAGAGACACAGCTGAGATGAAACAGGATGACCTTACACTTCTAAGCAATTTTAGAAACTGAAATCAAATTTCAGAGCAGTGATTCCCTGGATTTACATCACTGCAAAGTCACTCTTCAATATAGTCACATCAATGCTTTTTTAAATAAAAGCAGCACCTACACAAACAGAAAAAATATTGGCACAGAAAATAAAATAAAATCAAAATAATTGTGGTACTTAATTACACATGTGAAGGGAAAATTAGAGCTTTTACAGACAGAGTAATTAATGCCTCCCTCAACAATTTAAAAGACTGAAAATTTTACTCTTTACTGACACTTTCTACAATAAGCTGTGAAAGCACGATCACACAGAGAATGCGTGTTTCATATGAGTTAGTGTGCTAAGCTGTTTTAAATGCAGTGCTGTACACTGGCAGCCTCAAGTGGTAAAAAAGAGGTAACTCACCAAAGTGAAGCCAGAGTCCAGGGAGTGACCTTATGGTCACTAACGCAACAGTCTAACATGTCTCATAAAGAAAGATCACAATGTCAAAACACTCAAAACAAGCCATGGCCAACGTGGGAGTCAATGCTTGTACTAATACGTGATAAATACACCGATCCAGCATAACATTATGTGTACTGGTTTGGTCCGGTCAAACAGACGAGCTATTGTAGCTGAAACTGTGGAAAAAGTTGATGCTGATCCTGAGAGAAAGGTGTCAGAACACAAAGTGTATCACAGGTTGTTGTGTATGTTATTGCATAGCCTCAAACTAGTCAGGGTGCCCACGTTGACCCTGTTCACCATCTAAAGCACAAACACTGAGCGCATGAGTATCAGAACTGGATGGTGGTGCAATGGAAGGAGGTGGCCTGACGTGATAAATCATGCTTTCTTTTACATTACATGGATAAAAGCGAGCCGGAGGAGGCAGTGTGATGCTTTGGGGAATGTTCTATGTTGACTAATTTCACATAATAAAGCTACAAGACAGAAACAGTTTTAATCTTCTGTTTCCCTTTGTTTAAAATGTACCTTGCCTCCTCAATGCTGGCGTCAGTCACATGCGCCACAGCTCATATTGCCTTTAGTCTGACTTAAGGCCATTTAAAATTTATGTTCACATTTTTTTATTTATCTATTTAAAAGATAAAAAAGGATAAAAGGAAAGCAGAAAGTAATTATAGCATGAATACCGACATACATTAGAGCAGCCAGAAACCACATCCTCAGAACTGACCAGAGTTCAAACGATACAAAAATCTGTTGAAAGGCTGTTAGAGTTGATCAAAGTTATGCAGACTTGTGTGCAACATTTAGCACAATGAAAAGAAAAAGAAAAACTACGACGATAACAACATGATAATGCAAAGGGAATTCCAAGAAATTGGATGGGATACTTAATAAGATCTGCACATTGTACAAGGACACTCTCCTGATTTTATTTTGTGAAATAATCTGAATAAACGTGTACAGAAGAAGATACAGGACATACCCTCACAACAACACCTACAGACAATTTAGAGCAGCCGGCAGGGGGAACCTGGATGAATCCAGCATCAGCTCAAGGGGAGCATCCAAACTCCATACAGAGTCACAGCTGAGCAGGAGTTTCAAACTCGGAACATTCTTTCTGTGAGGTGATAGTACAATGTAACGCTGTGGCACCATGCTGCCAAAATAAACAACAGAGGTGGGTATTTTGCACAAAACAGTAATACAGAGGCTTCATGGGTGGTGTGTGAGTTAGCTTCAACCATTAAACATCCCCAAAAAATGTGGAGCGACTTGTACGTTTTTTACTAAACGTGAATGAAAATGAGCGATCACAGAGGGTTCAATCTTAAGAGACCCATCCATCCATCCATTCACTTCCGCTTATCCTTTTCAGGGTCGCGGGAGCCTATCCCAGCTGTCATAGGGCGAGAGGCGGGGTACACCCTGGACAGGTCGCCAGTCTGTCGAA